CAAAATCTGTGGTACTTGGGCTATCTTCTTCTACCAGATATAGGGAGTGTGGGTACATGTAACCTTTGACTGTATGTGGCACTTAGGGTAGGCATTTATGATGCATGAAGAGCTGATTGGAATTTTAACACATATAGGGAAAGGAAAGAGGAAGTTGTACTTGGAGAAGAAAGAAGTGGCCATCAGTGTAAGCATTCCCCTTTTGGCCTCTGAGGCAGACCAAACCTTAGAATGATTTTTTGTGACAGGACTTTAGCAACTACATCAGCAGCCTCCTTGGTTTTGGGAAAAGCTTTTATCCATCCTGAAAAAGTATAGACAAAGGCAAGAAGATATTTAAGACTTTTGTGGCAGGGCATGTGTTGCAGTTAGGGGTTGTGCAGAGAACAATTAGAATCAGGTCATGGAGTTTATAATATTATTTTTATAATGGTAACCAGGAGTTAACACAAGAAAATGCAGGGAATGTATCTGCAACACCAAAGACATAGATTATTTAGTGAAGAGCCTAAATCCCACAGCAGTGTCTCACATGAGTCCAGATAAAAACCCAGAGCTCACGAAAAGTCCAACTGGAGGTCCAGAACCCACAAGAAGGACTCACACCAGTCTCTGTACAGATCCATGCTGGGAAGGCCCAAAGGTCAGCAGTGGAACCAGAAAGTCTATGCCAGCAGGGTGAAGGAGCTGTGCTGGTGGGATGAGGGTTCTCTGCTGGAGCTGAGAAGTCACACTCACAACAAAAACCAGGGCTGTCTTGAAAGGCACCACAGCCATCCTCAGCGACACGGAGGCCTCAAGCTCCTCTGATGACAAGCACAGTCGGGTACATGCCAGGAAGCAGTGTGATGAGTTCATTCTGGAGACCAAACAGCACAGGTCTTCCCCTCCAGAGCCAGGAAGCAGTGCTTGATGTGAGGACCAGTGTCTCCAGGAGAACCAATGGCTCAAACAGCAACTCGTGAGAGAACCCACAATGCCTCAACACAATAACACATTAATGCCTAGGTACCTCAACAACCTCCTTCACCTATTTATGCTGGCAAATTTTCTCAGGTGGAACATCTTTGCTCAGTGCCATGCTGATGTAATCCAGCTGGCGTTAAGTTGACCACCAGTTCTTAATCCATAACAGCATGTGTGTAAAATCTACCTGCCAGTCCTGAACAGGGGTGTGTCTGTGAAATTGATGAGTAGGAAAGGAAAGGGGTGGTATGTGTCCCTGAGGAGAGGTTCTAACACAGAGATGACAGATCTGAGTATTCTGAAGTATGATAGCCATGAAAAGGATATGTAACAACTGGGGCTAGGAGCCTATATAGGACCTGTGACCCCACGTGGAAACAGTTGTGTAAGAAGGCAATGATGTCTAAGGCTGCTGATCTGGAAGAACAAGTTTTGATCCCTGGAAAATTCATCTTGAGCAACTACATAGTAGGTGTCGTGTAAGACAATGTCTAGTGAGGAGTTGGCTAATACAATTCCTGTGAGTGTTTTGTGTGTAAACTGATCTATGAAGAAAGCTTTTGAAGAAGATCCTTACCTAAAAGGGATGTGGGACATGTTGGTATTACCAGAAAGCTATGTGGAAGAAGACAGTTTAGAACCAGCGTGGAATGGGCCCTGTTTGAAGAGGCTGTGTAGGTTGGTCATCAACACACATTATGGGAAATGAGGATTTAATATAATGGCCTGAAAACTCAAGAACACTATATGTGGCCTCTGGGTCGACAACTACAGATAGTATCCTACCTGAAACCTATAGTGGACTTGGGACTTTGAGATATCTTAATGGGGATATCTTAATGGGGGCTGTGGGCCCCGATCCACATCAGTCTTCAGCAGTAAGTCCATGCAGATCATCCAGCAATGAATTTGGTGGTGATGAGATCTCCTATGAGGGCAAGGACTTAGAGAATGGCTTACCTGCTCTCTGGTGGCTAGGCAGTTACTCTTTAATGACCCTTGAGGTTGTAGCAAGGACATGGCCCCAAAGGAATTCATGAGTTTGGGCAGTCTCTTGCCCAGTGTCAGTTTTTGTTAAACTTGAAGCATGATCCTGGAGGGGCTTGGGCAGCTCTACCTTGTTTTGCTTTACTTGTCTTAGGAGTCCAAATGGTCACTGCTAAAAGATCAGATTGATATTTTTAAAGTTTCCCTTTGAGTTTTATCTTCGTTTTTGAAAACACAAAAAGCCATATTAAGAAGGTCTCCCTGTGAGGTTTGAGGGCCAAGTTTAACCTTTTATAGTTTTGACTGAATGTCAGGAGCAGACTGAGAAATAAAATAAAGGGTTAATAAGATTTGTCCCTTCATAAGAGTCTAGGTTTATATTACTAAACTTAAGTAAGGTATCCCTAAGCCATGTTAGGAATATAGCCAGGTTTTCATTAGCCTCTTGTACCTATTCTAAAGTTTGTTATACTTAGTATACGTGAGAGTTATTTTACTAAGGCACACAATTATACATTTGATCAAATTATATACTTTATAAGAACATTCTTCATTTTGGTAATTCCAGTTAGGGTCCTGTTCAGGCACTACAGCAGGCTCAGGGTCATTGTCAGCAGTATTTACTTTATATCTAAGATTGGCTTCTTCTTGAACTGCTTGCCACAGCTGAGCTCACTCTTGTGAGCTGAGGGTGGTATTCAGAATCACATGAATATCTTTGAAATTTAAATCATAACAATTACTTATAAATTCAAACTCTCTAATATAATTTTGTAGATCACCAGAAAAGGAACCTAATTTTTGATTAATCTGAGATAGGTCAGTAAGGGAAAAATAACATGAATATGAACCAGCCCTCAGGACCAACCTGTTCCCAAATGGGGAAGAGGGATGGAGGCTGAGAGGGCTGTGGAGTGGGAAGTATAGATGGTCACCAAGCAGCCAACTATCCAGCAAGTATCTGTGGGCAATTACAGGGTGATTGGCCATAAAATGGCCACTCATTACCATGTGACAAGGTAGCACAAGATGGTGACTGGTCATCATGTCACCCACAAGATGGCTGCTGCCAGTTACACAGTGAGGGAGCACAAGATGGTGGAGACTGGCCATCATGTGACCTGCAACAAGGTGGCTGCTGCTTATCTCATGATAAGAGATTGCAAGAAGGCAGCCATTTACCCTGTGACCTGTCACAAAATGGCAGCAAACTGTCACATGCCGGAAGACTGCAAGATGGTAGCTGTCCTCCATGTGAGCTGCAGAAAAATGGTTGCTGAAGACCATGTGGTATGGAATTGCAAGATGTTGCTCAAATATCATGTGGCCTGCTAGGTGGCTGAAATAAGCAAAACCAAGTGTGGTGAGCTTGCTGGGAGAATGGAAACACAGGAGCAGGGGAGAAAGAGACACATCATCTAAGGAGTCTGGTGGGGAGGAAGGGAGAGATTCTGGTACAGTAGAGTGAGCCAGAAATATCTGGGCCACAGTACATGACTAAATGAGAGTAGAACACATCCTCTAATTGAAAAAGGCCTGTATGTAATGGATTTTTCCCAACTTGCTGTTGTTGTGACAATAGTTATATAAATTTTGAAGGATAGAGAGATCAAATGTTCTCCCATTATGCTATATATGGGCTGCTGTTAAGCTGGGAGGTCTCTCAAGCCACCTGGCAGTAAAAGATAGCCTTCTTTAGGCCAATAGCATCAAGATTATAATCCAAAAACATGGAAATTGACCAACATAGCTGAGATTCCAAATGAAGCAGAATGTTGTACTTACTGTACTATCATGATTCCAAAGACAAATATTCTTAAAATCACTTTTACTTTTCCACTACCTGAAAGAAAATAGCTTTGTCTGGAATCTGCCTGATTAACTCAATGGTGTGAGAACTTGCCAGCTTGCCATGACAAAGGTATCCTTGCAAGTAAGAGACTACATACTTGAAGACTCTCTCAAGGAAAAACTCATTTCATAGAACCTATACTAGACAGAAACTGCAGGAATGTATACTGTCAACATTTTTATCTCAAAGTGCCAAATATACATAATGCAATAAGTATGAAGACAGTGATTATATGTACATTAAGCCAGGTAAGAGTATACTTTGCTCTTCCACAAAGCAGACCATCGAAACAAAAGCCTTTTTATCATAAATGATGTTACTTGTTAATCCTAAAGGATGATTTTCTTAATACCTCATTCTTTTTAGAAACAAACCAACACATAAAGTATTAGAATAGCTATCTCAATTGTGTCCAGTGGAATAACAAGGCAAGGTAATTTTGTGAGTAGCACGAACCAAAATATTCCATTAAATTCAGATGATGTTAAGCTGCCAGTCACCACAACTATCTAAATCAAATACTAGCCGGTGTAGTAGATTAGATAATTCTGATAAATAAAACAAATCTTATTTCAAAATATAGCAGGCTTATTGCTCTAGGAAAGTGAATGCTGGGACTGTTTACAAATGCTTTCATGTAGTAACCCAGTCTTTAGAGATTTATAGATATTTACTTCCTCCAGGGATTGGACAAGGAAGAAAATGCAATTGAATAAAGTCACTTATACATACAAAGGAATATTCAATAATTGTCTTTGTCTACTTTCTGTTGCTATAACAAAAAATCTGAGGTTTGATATTTTACACATTAGTAAAGAAGATTTATTTGGCTCACAGTTCTGATTGATTGCAGATTTCAAATTGCATGGTAACAATATCATGGCAAATGACTTCTGGCTTTATCAGAACATGATGGCCAAACAAAAAAAGAATTAGCCACCTGCAAAGGGATCAGGCACATGGGTGGCTTTGTTTTAAAACAATTTTCTCTTATAAGAACCAAGCAAGATCTGAAGAGAACTACATTTCTCTCTGAGTGTGGAACCCTCATACCTTTGTTACCTTCCACTAGGCTCCACCTCTTAACAGTTCCACCATCTCAGCACTAGCCCACTAAGGACCAAGGTTCCAACACAGGAATACTTGAAGGAAATATTCAAGCCATAGTAATCACCTTCACACTTTAATCTTACAGATTATCCAGAAGATACACCATCTCTTGCTCTAGAAACTGAAACATAGAAGTTTTCACATTCCCTCCATCTTTTAGGTGAGTATTGTGAAGGAGGCATACTCAGTGCTATATAGACTGCTAAGAAGACTTAGGAGCAGAACTAAATAAGGAGTAAATTCTCATTCTGAGAAACAAATGTTAAATTATTTACTGTCATTCCTCATATATGCTGAAGTTCTATACATAATTTTCCTGTGCAATGTACTGAAAAAAGTCTTTATTCCTCACAAACTCACACTTAATATCTCTTGTGCTAAGACCTCGGGGAATCCAAAAACAGTCAAATAGATGTTCAAGTGACTTATTTTCCTTATGCAACTTGTGTTGATACATTTTAGATCTCTAAAATGATGTAGGTTACAAATAGATTCTTTTTGCACGTCTCCATTATTTCAATTAATAACCTAGCCTTACTTGCCAACAGGTGAAAAGCACCCTCCCTATACTTCAACCCCTCCAAAATGCTACTAATTTATGATCACTAGAAGACAGCATTACACATGGGATTCTCTTTGGCCTAGTAAAATGCTAAACAGCTTTCTCTTATTCACAGGTAAATAAGCTCAGTGTAATTCAGCATTAAAAGACTTTTAGTTATAGAAAGACCATGGAGCTCAAAGCTCTGATATGGTAAGAATTCCAATTCTTTTACCATGAAAAAGATGGCAGTGTTTCAGAAGCCCCTCACTTTGTGAGTTCTCAGATCTTCAAGCTTGCCTTTAAGTAATTCCTTTTCCAGTGGATGCTGTCAAATAAGTTAACTGATACATTTTGTAGGAATAACAAAGCAGTGCTCTGATAATAATAGAACAGTGTTTGAAAACACAGGGAGGAAAAGGGGAATTTTTTAACTAATCAGACATAATTTTTTAATGTTTATAAATGCTACAGTGATAATTTTAAAATCTCCAAACTGCAAACAACTTGCATGTCTATCAATAGAATAGTTGAATAAGTTATAAAAGCCCATATTATTAGATATTTTATATATATATATATATATATATATTCTTCTATTTTCTTTTGAAAAGTTTTCATCTTTAAAGGATGAAAGATGAAATACCTATGTGTTTACAATTTAGAATTAACAAGCACCAACATTTTTCATTTTGTTTCAAATTTTTATATAGAAAGAAATTTTTACCATAACTTTTACAAAAATAATAAAGCATTTCTAGATTATGTACTCTTCAAAATGAAAAGACAAACTTGGAGAATTTGCAAAATATATAGCTTAGAATACTTAACACCCTTAATTTATTTTTTAATTTTATTTTTAAAGAGGGTAAACTAAACAGAACAAAACAGATCATAAGATAACAACGTAAGAGACCCAGATTTCAAAGCAAGACAACCGGAGATCTTCATTGTCTATCATATTGTCTCTTGTTTTCTTCCAAATAGTTGTCCATATCTTAACATACAATGAATTCATAAAAAGCAGAATAGTATAAAACTGAACAGAACAGGATGATGAAGGCATTTTTAGGTCTTCAAGACCAGACAATAGTGAAGTCAACAATGGCAGCCATAATGTCTCTCATTCTCTTCAAAATAGCTGTTCATAACTTCATGTATTAACATCCTTAATTTATAAAGCTCTTGCAAATTAGTAAGCAAAAGCAAAACACGATAATTAGAAAATTGCCTAAAGATATGAAAAGATAATCATTAAAATGAAAATGAAAAGATAAATATGAAAAAATTCAGCTTCACCATAAATAAATACAAATTAAAACAAACTAAAAAACTCAATTTTTGTCTATTAAATCAGCCAAGGTTTGCAAATTATAATACCTAGGGTTGCAGAACATGTTGAAATGGGTATTTGTATATTCTGGTATTATGAAAGTTTAAATTCATAAACCATTTTAGGACAATTTATTGACACGTATAAAAGGCTAAAAATGTTCATACAATTTTATCTGGTAACTAACTCCATTTCAACAGTGTATTTATTATCACAGCAAAAAATTTTGAAACTACATATCTAGCAATAGAGAATTGTGAAATAAATTGTTACATTAATACGACAAATTATTGAACAAACATTAAAAGTATTTTGATATTTCATAATAAGGTTATGTGAAAAAGCTATACAAATACAGTTTAATTTAAATTTGTTTTGTTTTTGTTTTTGTTGTAAAGACAGGGTCACTCTGTGGAACCCACGCTGGCCTTTAATTCACTATGTAGTCCAACCTGGCCTCGAACTCATGACAATCCGCTTTCCTAAGCTTCCCAAGTGCTGAGATTACATGTGTGCATCACCACACAATTGTTTTGTGCTGTTTAAATTTGCATTCAGAGCCTACACATTGAAAATAACACTATATAACTGAATATATCTGAGCCCTTAATTTAAACATATATTTTTGTCAGCTTAATAGATATACAATTAACCAACTATATAATTTGGCCACTTATATTTCAGCATTTTTTTTATTTTAAAAAGAAAAACAGAAAAAAGGATAGAATCTGTTATAAAATCAATTTTACAATATTTTTATTACTCAAAAGAGAAACCACATAGACATAAGCAGTAACTCTATTCTTTTCACTTCTGCCCCTTGGCAATCATTAACGTACTTTCTATCACTCTAGATATATCTGTTTGGGATGTTTCATGTAAATGAAATCATATAATTTGTAGCCTTGGGGAGAAACTATTTGTAAGAAGTCAAGTATCTGATACAAGATTTGTACTTAGAACTTAGAACCTTTGTGATTCAATAATGAAAACTAAAATAACCCAGTTTCTTAAATGGGCAGAGAATCTAAACAGACATTTTGCCAAAGAAGACACACAGATGACCACAAACACAAAAAGTTTTGCATTATGAACATGCAAATGAAATGCAAAATGGGATGCTGCTAACCATCCACTGGGATAGCTATAATCCAAAAGACAATGACAACTGTTGTTCAGGATGTAAAGACATTGGAGCCCCCATCTATTGCTGGTGGTAATGTAAAATGATATAGTAACACTTAGACTCCACGTATTAACCCTATATTATCTTCCATTAGTTTCAAATTTTGTTTTTGTTATTTAAATATTTGATTCATTTTTATTTTATGTCAGTATAAGGTTAGAGATATGAATCTAATTTCAATATCCTGCATGGGGATAACCAGTTTTTTCCAGCACCATTTTTTAAAAAAAGTTATCTTTTCCCCTATATTTTTGTCCCTTTTGTCAAAAATTGGTTGATCGAAGGTGCATGAGTTGTTTGTGTGTGTGTGTGTTCTGTGCTATTCCATTGGTCTATAGAGCTACTTGCTTCATAAGCTTAGGTACTTCAACTTCTCTTTTGCAAATATTCTTAGTAATTCCATTAGTATAGCTCGTAAAAACTCAAATTTCAGATTCAGTCTGTCTTCTGTCTTCACTCCTAGATACAAGCTGCTAAGAAGTGCCACAAAAATAACAAAATGGATTATAAGTATTTATTATTATGAATAACATAACTAAGATTTCAAATTTTTGGTCTCCAACCTCAGTGGACCTGGTACATCTTTACTACTTACCTGATTACTGGTAGTTCTTTACACCATTAGCCATACTTCACCCATTCTTTCATATCATTCTTTCATATCATTGTGATACCACATTGTACTGAAAGTCCTACCATATACATTAAGTGTAGAAAGAAACAGCAAATGTACTCCCATTGTAAAGAAAAATATGAAACTATTTGTAGATGATATGACTGTATGTGTGGAAATACAAACAATCTGAAAAAACTAAAATAAGTTAGCAATTTCACAGCACACAAGGTCAACACGCACATGTTTCTATACAGTAGCAATTTACATTTGTGAATCCAAATTAACAAAAAATACAATAATTCCAAGTAAAACTAAATACAATAATTCCAAAAATTAAATAACTAGATATAAATATAGCAAATCAAATACAGGGTCTTCATGCTGAAATATATAAAAAATATATAAAACACTAAGGAAAAAGACTAAAATGGACTACATGAAAGGAAATGTGTGCCATGTTCATAGGGCAAAAGAAAAAATGTAGTCATCAACTCTCACATATGGGAATATATGAGGTACTTTGGGGCCTGAAGCAGAAGAATTGCTCATGCATAGGATTTCAAGACCAGCCTGGACATAAAAATAAAAATACCTAAAAATAAAAGATACCTACCTAAAAAATAAAAGATATCAAATCTCTCCAAATTAATAGGTTTAGTTCAATCACAAATGTTTTCCAGCAAGAGTTTTTGTAGATATAGATAGCTGATTCTGTAATGTGTATGGGAAAGCAAAGGAACTGGAATGGCCAAAGTACTTTTAAAGAAAAATGCAAAGACTTCCAGGAAGATGATGGAGTAGTAAGCAGCAGAGAAAACAGCCCTCTGAGAGACACCATCTAGACTTGGGAATATACATACCATCATGAAGAAGACAAGAGGAACGGAAGTGGATCCCTTGGACCTAGGTAGAGCCTGAAGTCTGAATCAAAGTGCACAGAGAGAGAGAAGGAAAACTTCAGCAAAGAAAAAGACATTAGCTGGTGGCATCTTCACCCAGAGCAAGGCTCACTGCATGAGGGGAGCTGTTGCAACCTGGAGATGCGTGATCACAGTGATGGTACGTCGTGACCCTAGAGGCCTCTGAGAAGAGACTAACCAGTGGAGGGAAGTGGCAGACATGGAAGACTGTAGTGGCTGGTGGTGAGTGCAGAGGACTCAGTCCTCCTACGGGAGGAACCATTCTGGAGTCGGGCTGGATAAGCCCAGAACAAGAACTGCTGCCAGCTTTTTTCAGCAGATCCTAGCTGGGAGCAGATACGTGGAGATTGCTTGGACTGTGGTGAGCCCAGTGAGTCTGATATCAGGACAGGTCTGCTAAAAGTTGTCTACTACTCCATCATAAAGCAACTCCTGGCTTGGAGGGATACAGTGGCATGATTTGGCATGCTGTCTCCACAGACTGTCTACAAGTGAATCCAGATAGAATCTTTCAAGTGGATTGGTTTTTTTGTTATTGTTTTTCTTGTCTTCTTTTCTTGTTTG